GCAGCACACAAGTGTACACACACACCCACAAACACACACTCTCTCTCATTCTCTTCACCACTCTCAGGGAGACTTTGTGCTTTTTTTGTTATGATTTGTGTGGTGGTTTATTAATTAATTTGCTGCAGAATTTCCCAAGCACTGGGTGATTAAAAAAGGAGTAAAGGAATATCCGGGGTTCATGAAGCGAAGCTTAGTTATTTTTTTTTTTTTTGTAGTCAGTTTTAACTTTTTCCTAAAAAAATAAATAAATTACAATGTAAAAAAAAAAAAAAGTAAATTACAATGTAAGTAAATAGGACAGAGGACTTAAAAGCCGAAATGTGAACAGGACACCAGATTGCTGTTGGAGAGCAGTGAAATTGGTGCCAGTAAGTTCAACAGACTGTGGCAACACATATAGAGTGTTGGTAACATTTTAGGTTTTGTCTCTGACCACTCTGGCCTCCCTGGCGATAACGATGTCTGCCTTCACAGCTTCGCAGGCAAGAACATCAAAATTCACTAAACTGATCTTGCATATCAGCAAATCAGTTAGATTCACGCATCAAAAAACTTTCTAATGTGAATAGGCATGGGACAATAACCGTTTTCAAGGTATACTGCGGTTTGAAAAAGTCAAGGTTTTAAAACTACAAAAATTTTTTGCAGTACTGTTCCTAAGGTATGTGTATGATTTTTTTATTTACGTTTTTTTGTTTTGTTGGACAGCATTATCTTTAGCTAAAAAGATGTCTAAAGCTGCCCTTTTAAATTGTAAATTCCATTTATCCAATTTGTGTCCATATGTCTGAAATATTTTGAAGCTGCAATACTGTTTTGTATTGTTGCATGAGATTACCGCTTTTTTAAAGAAAAAAAAAAAAACATAACATTAGTGCACATCAGTTACTCACTAGTAACTTTTTATATGTTTGTCCCTGTAAGAAAACATTGTAAACAATTGGAAATCCGGTGATTGCAATGATCAAAACCTTGGGGTCAACTGTGGTCAAAACCAAGGTTCACATTGTGCACAGTGTTCTCTAAAATCCTCTCAAACGGTGGACTTGTATATTCTGATTGGTTGCCGCCGAACCACGCTATAGCTTTTTACCATAAAGTTCACTTGATTTCAACCAAAGTCCCTTTAGGGCAAGTAATTTTACTCATCGGCCATCTTTAAAATGCCTCTCAGGCTCTAAGCTCAGGCATTCTGTCTGAATGGGGAAATCTGAAATTCTTTAAGACTGTTAGCCAAGCTTACGATTGCATTACATATTTAAAATCATGAATAAAATTAAACTGTCTCATAATTTTTATTTCTAAACGTTCAAATCGAATAAAATCTGCATATTTTCAGGTTGCCCAAGCTAATGCGCACTCAAAAGGAATGAGATCACAACACCAACCTCATTTATGGCCGTTCTATATATTATCATGCTTTGGATAATGATCGTCAGATCGTCATCTGGAATAATCCACAACTTGACCTTAATGGCGAATCTTATACAGAAATGACAGCAGCTCTTTGTTTACAAGTCTGTGGGCGTTTTAGTAATTGTTGACATGTGATGTGTGTTTGACAGGACTGCCTGTACCTGTCTTTCGTTTCATACAAATTGACACAAACAAAATAAAACAGTTTTCAAGTGCACTTGGTTCCTTTAAAAGTACATATTTCAAGCTTTATCTGAATATATTTCTTATGTCTCTGAAGCAAGTATTCACTGAAATTCCAGTATGCTGTCGTAAAAGCAGACGTCTGGGAAGAGCTTCTCCGTCAGTCTATAGCAATCGATGGTTGGCTGCTGTATTAGTAGGCGGGGCTTCATTCGCCATATTGACGTTACACTCTTCCCCATTCAAAACTACACGAGTGACATGTCTTGTGTATTCTATGGTCTTTGTTTCAATTCTCCTCGACGCCCACACCAGTGAAGAGGCGCCGCCCCGCTTCTCATCGTCTATCGTCTACCGCAGGCTCGCATTGAAAATTAATACTATCGGTGTGAACGCACAGTCAACCAGTACATTTGGCAGCTTAAGTTGACCTGGGCAGCAATATCTTCAGTTTGAGTTTTATGATAAAAGTAGCCTAAAGACATATAAATAAGCGTTTTATAGTTAAGTAAAATTAAACATTTTTATTTATACCTAGAAACATTTGCCTACTGAATTATTTTTTTATTTTTTTTTAACTAGCTCCAAGAAGATAGTAATCATTTTAATCAAATTTTATTTAATGTAATTAACGTAACTAAATCCAAAATGAGATATTACAGAAATTAAATTTGTAAGTATGTAAAAAAATTCAAAACACACAACAAAATGACAAAAAAATCTACAATTTAAATGACAACAGAAAAAACTAAATTAAACAGACTATGAATATATTTAAACCATTATTAAAAAAACTATAATAGCTACTTAATACTCAACACTGATATAAATACAAATGCACAAAAATGGATTTCACTCTAACAAAAATATTTTAATTATATTCTTTTACTCATTTAATACATGTGAATAACAATGATAATATAATTGCAAAAAAATTATTGCATTAAGAACTAAAATAAATATAATAACAAATAAAAATGAAAAACAGCTAAGTCACATTTATGTTTTAAAAAATCATGTAAAGTAACTGTTTGCTATAAACAAAGCTAAATGTTTACTAACAAATAAGACTGTGTCCCTCTCTACATGATGGTGAACGCGCCGAAAGTCATCCGTCTTCTTTCCGCTTGACGTGCTCCACCTTTCCTCCCATCTGTCCGTGGCTGGAGCTATGGAGGTGTGGGGGCGGATGGGGTGGAGATACTGGCTGTCACACAGTTGGGCAAGTGCAGGGCATCTGGCCATGGCCTGAGGACTCCGGCACATCTTGAGTGTAAAGATCTTGTCATCTCTCGAATGGGTAAGCGAGCTATAAACGTACGAGGGAAGCCCTGTTTGTGTCGAGTTTAATGCGTTCTGCTTGTGCTGAACGTGTAAAAGTAATCTAACGTACATGTGAAAACCAGGCATAAATTAATCCGTAATTAAATAATTGCATTAAAGCTTCGAGCGCTGCGTTTATTTACGATAGGAAGGGGTTTTATCAGCACAAACCCATCTTTAAAGCACATTTGGAGCGAATATGAGTTTACATCGAATCTCTGATCTTCCTGCAGGCGTATGACAAAGGGGGGGAAAGTTGTTTTAAGTGCGGAAATGGCTTAACTTGATTTAACTAACAGCTTCCACATAGTCCGCTGCTTAAAATGCGAGACCGGCTTAATGCACTGGACTCAAATCAAACCCAGAGTCATATACTGTACAGAAAAGAGTGCTGTGTTCACTTGCCATCTCAAGCCCTGCCACTCAACGTCAATATCCCAGAATGCCTGCCGCACTTCATTTCATTTTCATGTAGTGACAGATGCACTGCGTGTTGATCCACTGGTACTTTTTGTATTTGGTTCTCGTCTGATTTGATTTAAATTTTTACAGCATGCGTTCACCTTTATTATCTTTTCTGGAAGATTATGGCATCCAGAGGGCTGCAGCTACACAAGACTGGTGCTTTACATGGGAATACCAAGCACATGCAAATGTATTTTAAAAATTAATGAAGATCAAATATTGATATACAGCTCTGGAAAAAAAATAAGACCACCAAATTCTCACTTTCTTGCAATTTATAGTTATATTTATACATGTTTGAGTAAGGCACATTAAAAACTTTTCTTCTAAATTGAAAATTAATATGTTGGTCCAAATAATATACAGTATTCTATTCAGTTCATCTTTATTTCTATAGCGCTTTTACAATGTAGATCAAAAGCAGCTTAACATAGAAGTTCTAGTAAACTGAAACTGTGTCAGTCCAGTTTTCAAAGTTAAAGTTCAGTTTAGTTCAGTTCAGTGTGGTTTAATTTTCACTACTAAAAGTCCAAACTCTGAAGAGTAAATCCATCAGTGCGCAGCTCAACAAGTCCCAAACCAAACAAGCCAGTGGTGACAGTGGAGAGGAACAAACTTCACCAATTGATGAAAGTGAAGGAAAAAAAAAACCTTGAGAGAGATCAGGCTCAGTTGGGCACAATACCAAAATAAGATGCCATATCTGAAGACCTTTATAATATTTTTTTTTTACTGCAAAATACCAATGGTTCAACTCAAGTTAAGAAAGCAATAATTGCTGGAATAACCTTGAATTTTAATCAAAATAATTTGCTATTTTGACCAATTTTCATTTTCTGCCGCAAACAACATCAAAAGAATACTCCAAATCACAACATAATGTTCAACCTCATGGTTAATTCAATTTATATATTCATAATTTAAAGAGTTTAGCAAATAATGACAATTATGACATGCATTTTATGTCACCCACACTGTAAATCCATTTGCTGACTTCAGTTAAAAAAAGCGAGTAAACATGTTGTCTTACATTTATTAAGTAAATGAACAATGTGCATATTTATAAATATTAAGTCAACTTAACTGTTCCATGTTACAAGCCTCACTTTTTTTTTAAGTAAATTATTCACTATTCACAATGCATAAAACTTTTCTTTGGCCACTTTTACACTGTCAGGTATTGATGCCTAGTTCTGATTTGTTGCTGATTTATTTATTGATTTATTTATTTTGCCTGTCCGTTTACACAATCTTTTAATTGTGACCCAATATTCATGTTTACACTTGCTATACAATTTACAGCATTGCGTATGCGTAAAGATGGGCTCTAGCATCTGCGCCACACTAGCCACGATGAAAGAAATTGTCTTTATTTTAGCTCTGCAAAATATGCGAAGTTCACCCAAATGATTTAAAGTGATTTTGAGGTAAAGGCGGTGAATGAGGGAAAAGGCTTTAATCGCAGCTTGTGCCTATGGTTTTATATATGATGTCCTCCACCATTCAGAGGAATTTTTAGTTACAAGAGAGATCTCAGGTCTGATAGGAGCAAATGTTAGCGGGCTTTAATGAGGAGAAGTGGATCCGAAATTTTATTATGAGTACACATGCTCTTCCATCTGTCATTAAACCGTGGAGAAGTACCACATTGTCACAAGTTTACTGACGTACAAAACAAAATAAAATATTAGAAATAAATCCGATCTGCCTCTTTACATGATAGTCGCATTGTCACATATCCGTCACATATATTATTTTTACAGTACATATGAAGCAGGCCGATCTCTGATATCTGAATGCATGAGTTTTTTTTTTTTTTTTTCTGTGTCACATATGAGCAAAAAATCTGAATTGGGTCACATTTAACTGACAGTGTAAATGGGGTGTTTGAGACTTCAGTTTGTCCATTCAGAATCTATTTTCCCAAAACACTGAATGCCTTAACCCAGTAATAAAAATATTGTAAAATAAATGTAAATCAAGCACTTTTATCCTAGTCTTCTGATTTGTTTTTCAAGCTGAACAAATGTTTTTATACTGTAGGCATGGAATGATTTGAGTAAATTAGGACATATTTAACTTTTTTTGTAAACTATCCCTTTGACATGCACATTGAAAAGTGCACATTCATAGTACGTATACCCTTTAACATTCTGACTTTGTACAGTTTCCCTTGTGCATTCACATCATTTAGCAAAGCTTTTCAGTTTAGTGGTGTTCATTCACTGCTTCGGCTCACACAGCTCAAGCGTTTATGATAGGATTACTAGTAACAACCAAATAACTTTCTAGATTTTTCTTTATCTAAAAACATTGCAATTTAATTAAAATCATTCTGTTATCATCATAATTTCGATCTTTCGACTTTGTTGACATGTTTTGCTTGTCAGATTGTGTCTAACAGCAGCAGTTCCCAAGCGAAGTCTTTGACCCGTTGTCCATGAGTCTGGCAAGAGAGTCTGGTTTAAAAAAAAGAAAGAAAAGAAAGCCAGTGCGATGGAAGAGGAAATTTGTTTCCCTCAGGAGCGGAAGCAGAGAAAGCCGAGACAGTTCTTTTGCCCCCAGAGCCACATCTGTACGGTGTCTTGGCAAGAGCCTCCATCACATTACCTCTACCTGGCTATCCATGATCTTACATCTCACAGCCAGCTCTTTTATTCAGAGCGAGCGAGAGAGAGAGAGTGAGTGAAGTAATGTTACTGGCCTGTCGTCTTGTTTTACGTTTTGGCAGACTGCGCCATGACGCATGGGCTTGCATCTCATTACAGCAGGAGTCTGGGGCTTGTCTCTCTAATCAGCGGTCCTGCTTATGTCTTTGGTGTCGGACCTGGGGAGAGCAGCGCCGTCCATGTTTTCAATAAAATCCTTTGGATGGGAGCTTTTCCTCTGCTGTATCAAAGGATCAGGAAGCCACAGGGTATCAACTGGAGCTTTAAGGGATAGTTTGGCCAAAAATGAACATTCTGTCATTGTTTGCTTGCCCTCATGTTTTCTCAGACTTGTTTAGCTTTTTTTCCCTTTATAAAACACAAAAGGAGATGGTTAGCAGAGTGTTTGAACTGCACTTTTTTTGCACTATGTGGATCAATAAACATCAAGGACTGTAAAAGACAGTATAAATGGGGTTCATTTAACTTGTACAGTGAATTCCAGGGGCAAGATTTACTGTTCTTAAAAGCATCAATGTGAGTGGAATGTTCTGTTGTTCTATTTCATTGTCCCACTATCATCCTTTTTTTTTTTCGGTGTCCTCTTTTGAACACCAGTGGTGTAAAATAACAAATGACAAATAATGAAATTGCTGTAAATGAAACAAAATCATGCAATAACTTATTTCACTTATTTTAACTTAATTAAATAAATAACTTGATTATTTAATGTTTACAATGCAAATCCAATTAGGTCCACTTATTTGGTAAACGAAGAAAGTCTTTCAAATAATATATCCACTAAAGACATAAAATATTACTTTACAGCAATAGAACCGTATTGTGAATAAATCACAAGAACATTTTTATATCAGTGTAATGTCTACAAGTAAATAAATATACTTATTGATTGCAACAAATCTGCTGAAATCTGCATCCACAGATTCTGTGTGGGCCTAACAATCACCAACAATCCATCTCAAAAAAACTTTTAGCTTTTTATTACTTTTTTTTTACTTTATTTGCCATAATATTTTTTTCTATTAACCTGTATTATTATTAATGTTATTATGATTAAATGCAATTAATTATAATTATTATTATATATAATTTTTTATGGGGCAAGTTAAAATCTTTTCCAATATTTGGAAAAAAAAGTCCTCAGTGTTTAGCCCTCTTAGACTAACCTTTAATTCATAATGGTTTTAAAAATGTCTTAAAAAGTCTTATATTTATCTTGCTGAAACTAGCCGATACCCTGCATGAAATGGCATTAAACTAAATGCACTACAGAATGTTACGTTTTCAAATACCTGCACACTATGCGTGTCTTCAGTTCTGGACAAACTTGGCTTAACGTGTCAATGGCTGGACACTTGTAGTGTGTTAGTTAGGGTTCAAAGTGCGTAATATGAATTTGCATATAGTCTCACATATAGCTAGTCACTTACATATAGCTAGATTTTTCCCCTTTGTTAGGTTACAGATATGTAAACCTATCAACCAGCTTTATGTCAGTATACTGGGTGCATATATTAATGTAATGTAAGTTAATTTATGGCAAATAACTCAACTAAATGCTCTTAATAAAATGGCACAATTCATGCTATACTTTTAATTTGCAGAGTGTAAAGTAGAATAATTTTCACAGCATAAAACGTACTACTCTTGGGTACTGTTAGAAGGGCTACTTTTTACTCATATTTTGAGCAGTATTTCTTGGCAAGTAGTGGTACTTTTATTTGAGCATGATTTTTCTGTACTCTTTCCAGCGCTGGTTGACACATTTGGACATTTTGTGTGTCTGCCAGCTCATCTAGGATGATTGAATAATTCATTATTTTATTCCATTTGTGATGGATCAAGGCACTGAAAATAACACAGAACGCAAACAGAACACAGGCTGATGATTATGTGAGTTAGCATTAGTGTATCTGCATAAACATGAGTGCAGAAAGCTCATTTATAGTCAGTCAGTTTTCATAGGGCTGTTATTTGTGGTACCCTGCGTAGATATCGTCTTCATTTTCAAGTTCAATACACTGCATATAATCTGTCCATGGAATAGCCATGAATGCATCCTGATGCCAATAACGGCCACATGGCCCGTTACAACAAACGAACATGCCGTTTGTTAAATCTATTTCAGCAAATTAGCTGTAAACGGACGACTGTAAACAGCTGTTGCGTCTGTGTGTTTGCGTGAATGTGAGTGTGAAGGAGAGAAAAGAAGGGGGAGAGGAGACTCATTGTGTTGAACTGACCCGGTTTTGTCCCGCAGGCTTAACCCCTGCTCCTCTCGAGATTAATTTTGCATGTGTTTGTGCTTTATGGTGAGGCGTGGGCTGAGGGGATTTACCCTGTTTGACACCTCCTCAAATACAGTGTGGGATTGTCAGGATTGTCTGTCGCCTTTCTGATTATGATGGGACAGGAGGGGGTGATGGTGGTCCAGGTGGCTGTGGCAGGGTCAGTCCATCCATGGGGTCTTTCTCACCGCATTGCCATCCATCTCTCTGGATGGATGTGGGTTTTACAGATATTGATTTAAACACCCGACATCTGTGATATGATCTCTTACAGGAAACTGTCCTTTCTGACAACAAACATGGTTAGAACAGTTATTCATAGTATTAAAGAATGATATTCAAATAAAAATAGTTATGTAAAACGGGTTACATTTTTTATTAGACAATGCAATACTTGATTTTTTTAATAATACACATTTTAATATAGATAAACGTTTTTTCTTTTTCATTGATTTAATGCTTACATATCTTATAATGTTTTTTTTAAATGATTAATGAGTAAAGAATAAGTGCATTTCTAAAATATTTATTTATATTGGACAACACTATACATGTTCATAACAATTGTATTAATACTTTTCATTATTAATTTGCCTTGTTAAATTTTTCATTTTAAAAATTAATAACAGAACATATATTTCTATATTTATGTTGTTTTTGTTTTCAGCATTGCAATACTTGCAAATATTTGTTGTACTTTAAAGTCAAAATGAATTAGTTTCTAATTGTAAAATTGTTTTGCATATAAAATAATTTAACAAAAATTGTATTCAAATATACTTTTTAAGTCTTATTGTTATTATTTGTATTTTATAATCATTTATAACTTTTACTACTATTAATATGAAATTTGGGTTCAACAAAAACAAATGGATTAACGAACATTTTCTTTTTAAGAAAACGATTATTTGACAAATTATTTTTGTTCATATGCAATAAATTGAATTATATAAATTATATTAATTATATAATTTAAATTATATTATGCAATAATAATAACAATAAATGAATAAACATTGTATTTAATTTTTTTTACTTTAAATACACTGTATACTGATATTTATTGTTACTGAACGACTGTAATTCAGCAGATAAACAGAATAAAATGATAATAATACTTGCATACATACAGTAAACTGTAAAACCCAAAAAGTTAAAGTAACTCAAACCATTTGAGCAAACCGATTGCAACAAACCATTTAAGTTCAAAAACTAGTCCTATTGAGTACTGTGAACCTAATGTATTTGAGTAAATGAATCAGTTTGAGCACAGTAAAAACCCAATAAATGAAGAGAACTCCAACTAACGGAGTACTGTAAAAGCCCAATTAGTTAAGACAACTCAAACCATTTAAAGAAAACCGTTTGCTACAAATCCTTTGAGTAAAAAAAAAAAAAAAAAAGCAATCTATATGAGTATTGTCAATTTACTTTTTTAAGTTAAAGTGATGAAGTATTTAATTAACTTATTACCTTTAACACTGAGTTCAAACCTCTTTTCAAATGAGTAGAATTAACTTTCAGTAAATTTTGAGATCACTACACTCATTTCATTTGATAAAGTTGACTGTTTTACAGTAAATGTTTTGTCCATCTTGCAACCCTCAAATTCTCCATTATATGTTTTTATCTCCCAGCTGTAGTAAATCTTAATCTGTGAGCTTGATTAACCCATCAGTTCTGCTCTGCTCTGCCTGCAGTCGCTCCACTGGGGCTCAGACTGATTTAGCCACACTGATGGCACCGTGCCCAGCTTCAGCTTTTAGAAAGACCCCCTCAACTCGTCCTACTGCTCAGAGTTTGCTTAAACACATACAGTATGAATGGAGCTGCACGGTCTGCGTTTGCTAGCACGTGCAGGACAGGAAGACTGACTCATGCATGCTTCAAGACACAACCACCAACCTTTCAAAAATTTCACCAATGTTTACTTGCCTCTGTGGGTGAGAGATGAGAGCACGACTGGTCCCGACCCACGAGACCCCAGCGGAACAAGTATTGAAAGAAAACTTCCCCCTTGTTCATTTACCGCCCCATCCACTGCTTGATGGTTTGAGCAGGGTGTTTCTTCTCTAGGATTTTTACACGCTCAAGATTTATGCAGCGCTTAGTGTTTCCTGCCCTCAGCTCAGCCACACTCCTCCGTGAAGCTGCATATCAAACAGCCTGAGATATTTATATCGTGGTCTCTGAGCCTGAGGCGGAGGCCCCTCTCTATGACTTCTGGAAGAGACACACTTTCAGTTCTCAGTGGAACTCGCTATTTGTTTATTAATGTATAGATATATATATATATATAAATAAATACTACAAAAACTGGGTGTACTGGGCTGGAGTTGTTTAGAGTTGTGCGGGAGAGATGGCAAAACCCATAAAAATAATTTGCTGTGGGTTTCCTTGAGATTTTCCTGTGGGGTTTCTGTGGTAATGTGCAATGCAAATTTGACACAGCCATATAGAAAAAGTGATGTCATATATATTGAAATGATAATAATATTGTTTAATTATATGAAATTATAATATATTATAAAATAATTGTTAATAATGATGTAATAATAATGAAACAAATTAAAATGTTGCAAACAAAATCTATAGACCAATATTTCATCACCATCACATTTATTTATTTATTTGCATAATTTGTTTACTAGTTTGTTAGTTGTTTATTTATTGTGCTTGCTTGTGTTATTCAAATAAACTGTTAAAGACATTTGTTTAGTTGTTTTGTTTTTTAGACATTAATACTACTACTACTACTACTAATAATAATAATAATAATATTGTTTAAATTGGTTGCTAAAAAAATTTACAAATACATTATTATCATTTGTTTATTAATTTATTTGTTTGTATTATTTAAATACATTTTTTAAGATATAAATTTAGTTAAATATGTGTTTTTAAATTATAAATGACATTATGTATGACCAGTATTGGGGAAAGTTACTTTTGAAAGTAATGCATTACAATACTGAGTTACTTCCTAAAAATGTAACCAGTTGCGTTACTTTTTGCGTTACTTTTTATGGTAAGTAATGCGTTCTGTTACTTTTGAGTTACTTTTGCATTACTTTTTCTGACCTGGATGAGGTCAGAAAACGTAATAGAGGAGTAATAATAGAGGAGTTCTGCAATTAATATAGGACTGTATAACCTACACTTTCATTTACTTAAAAAAAAAAAAAAAAACATCAAAAAATATTTTAGGATAATGTTATATGAGAACTTCCCCACCCCAGAGCACCCTGAAAGTTTAAAGCAATGTGTTTGTTACTTCTGTGCTATTTGTCCTGAGTAAAATCAGTGTCCATTGAGGCAATTTCCTTTTTTACGATGCGTTCAAATTAATAAAAGCGTTCTCTTATTGACTTTGTGATTCATTGTGATTACAATAATTTTAATTCAACAATTTTTTAAAGCTAATTAATTAAACTACAAAGTAACTTGCGTTACTTTTTCAAAGAAGTTACTCAAATATTATTACTTATTTTTTTAAAGGTAATGCATTATTTTACTTGTTACTTAGCAAAGTAATATTATTATTACTTTGTTACTTGTAATGCGTTACCCCCAACACTGTGTATGAAAAATAATAATAATGTTAATAATAAATAAAAAAGTTGTAAAATAATAACGACAACTGACAGCATTGGCAACTTTTGCAACTATATATATGTTTTCCTTCAAATATGCCATTGTGTTGACATTTCTATAAACTCTATTTCAATGTTATGTAACATTACCATTGTAGGCTCAAGCTGATGTAAACACTACATACACACAAGCAACACTAAAAACCACAACCAGCAGATTGTCTAAGTATTTCTCTAAAAAGATACAATTGGTGTATAAAAGCCCTCTAACGTCAGCATATACAGACATCAATTCTGGCCCCATGTGGAGCAGCACCTAAGCTGAGAGAACAGTTCATCTGAAGGTCATGACGCATTATTATCTTTTAATTGAGTTAAGATGGCCAAATAAATGGTCTACAGGCAAACGCAGTCATTAGCCTCGCTCAGCGTCTGCTCAAACGCCACTTACTCGCTTTCACTCTTCAGAAGATCCAGCAAGCAACAATCAAACACATGTTTCATATATACTTATAGCTTCTTCTTCTTTTTTATTTATTTTTATTTTTTTTTATTGCCGTGCGTTTCTTTGATGTCTGGCGAATCTTTGTGGCTTTTACCGGGATTCTGTCTCGCTGGTGTTAATGTACAGTCTGTGTTCGCCCCTAATGTCTTTAACGGACAGAGAGATCCAGCAGCGGTATGACTCTAATAAGCTAATAGCACAGTCTCTTGACAAGTCCATGAGAGTTCATACATTAAACGGATAAACGCTGCCTTTTTCTACCCAGTGTGCATTTCTTTCCCTCACCACATAGACTCACTCAGGAACAGTGTTGGGGAATGTACTTTAACCCTCTGCTGCTTAAAACCATACTTTTATTTATTTTTTTCTGTAGTTTATTCACTTAAAAAGGGTTAGTTGCTTTACTTAAAAAAAATGTGAACAAATTTGTTGCCTTTAAAGTAAGTAGTTGACTTTACTTAAAGTGAGTAAACCTATTGTCACTTAGAACCGTTAAGTTGACTTAATTTATATCATCATGCATTTAGTTCATTTTACTTTACTCAATGTTAGGTAGTGGATTTACTCACTTTTTTGTAGGAAAATTCAACCGGAGCACCCGGAGGAAACCCACACGAATGCAGTGAGAACATGCAAACTCCACACAAAAATGCCAACTGACCCAGCCGAGACCAGCGACCTTCTTGCTGTGAAGCGACAGCACTACGTACTGCGCCACTGCGTCGCCCCTTACTTGTATAAATATGTGTATATTTATTCCATTTTTAAGTTCAGTTAAGTTCAGTATAATATTATTAAATAAAATGAAAATTTCTACGATTTTTTAACTATACAGTTTGTAATATTAATTAAGTAATATTTTCTGTATTTTTTTATGATACTCCCAAAACCATTTATTTACTCCCAAATTTTATTTATTTAAAAAAAATTCTCTGCAGAAATATCAAAAAATGTCAGCAGATTCTGCCTGGCCCTACTACTGTAATTACTAATAAATTTATCAGTTAAAGTAAACAATAAAAATAAAAACAATATATTATAAACATCTTAAAAGATTATAAAAAAAAAAAAAGCACTTTGAAAAAAAATGGGAAGCAAATTTCATGTAGCTAAACTGTTCAAACTAAACTTATATTTTTATTTATAAAGAAAAATAAATAAAATAATATAAAATTATTTTTATTAAGCTTTTTTTTTTAATGTTGAGCATAGAAAGGCAACTTGTTTTATATTAATTCAGGTTGAGTTTTGTTACAAAGTACAAGGTTATAAATGATTATATCTT